AAACCTCTCTTTTCAAAAGAAAGCGACCCGCCAAAAAACATTGCAATAGAGAACTCTTTAGCGGAAATGGTTTCCTGGCCTATTGAAACTCTTTCAGCCGATTCGCGGCAACACATTACTTCAGATCAGATTTGTGCCAATTCCTCCATTCACAAAATGCCCTTATCAATCAAACTTTCTCTCTCTTACCGGAACTACCCTCTGCAGCTTCATCTTCAGCAGCTGCTCAATCTTTCATTTCGAAAATCAAACGTGGATGTCATGGGACTTTCTCACAACTTCGTTCCTTGCATTTTTTCCATCTTTAGCAGTTCCATATTAATCGGTTTCATTCCGATCAATCAGTCGAGATGGTTAGCTTGGGCGCTAATGGTATTTTATATTTAGAATATCTAGACTAATGACAATCTTCCTTACTTGAATTAGAATCTTAAGCAGCTCAATTCCGATCTTCACTGATCTGAGACGGCCCTTTGTTCAAGTACCCCTTCTTCTACTCGAGCCTCGGCAGAGCCTTTTTGATCTCATTCGTATTCTAAGGAATTCTAAAGGGCTCTTTCATATTGCACCGGTTCTGGAAAGATTGGAACATTTCCTACCGAGACAACATAAACTCTTCAACGGATCCTCCTTTTTTCAACTAGTAGATCGCCTTTTCTTAAGGTTTCGTACTACTACTCAAGTGATACGTGAATTGCTCAGGAGAAGTTTTTCTAACCGGATTGAAATCGTGAGACAGTTCGGTTCTCTAGACCCATCTCCGCCCTGGAGAGGGGCGCGGTGTTGAAATTGTTGAACCGGAGAAATGAGTTGGAAAGGAGTGGAACGAAAGCAGACAAGTGAAGACCAAAAGAGACAGGCTTATGACTAAACACTACCCGGAACGAAGCCCAATCGATTCGAATCGGTCAGTCGAACAAACAAAGACTATAGTTCGCGATCAAGTCGTTCGCTTCTATAGCGGTTCGGAATTCCATTTTGATCTGTAAAGTTCTTCAATTGATCCATCAAGGATAGAAGGGAACAGGGGTATAAGTAGGGGCTTCTTGAATGGGATGGCTTTTATGGATGTCCCATAAATAAGGCCTCCAACTCTATGTTATAGCCTTCATGCCCTCGATCCGACGGTCCTCATTCTCCCACTTGGCAAGCTGCTACTGTGAACAACAAAGTAAAGGATGCTTCCAGAAACCGTCTAGGTTCTTCCTAGGAAGATTCCTTCTTTCTGTCCTATTGAGAGGATGATCCCTGGCCATCGCCTTGGGTGTTAGATCAGAAAGGTGACACATCTAGTTCCGAGGTTGGCCTAACAACTTGATGACACGCTTATAGAGTTTTCCGACCTGAAATGCTGCGTAAAGCGCTTTCTTGCTCGGTGATCAGTCAATGAAGTTATTCTGGATCCCTGACTCGTCTCATTCTGAGCCTTTGGCCTGTTTGACATTGGGTCAAATCTGTCGTCTGGGCATCGTCCCCTCTCTTGATCTACTTCGGTTACAACTCGATAGTGAGTTTGAGGGTCAAGTAAGGGATTGGGTTAGAGGAGGGTCACAGTCCTGCTATATACGAAATACTAATAGCTAACGGCCGTATGGCATCTATCCATCCATGCTGAAGTTTTTGAGACTGAGGGCTTGGATCGAGGTCCTGAAAACGTGAAACGCAGTAAGGACATTGATGAAGTATAAGCCCTGGCGAAAGACGAAGGCGGTAAGCGAAGCGAGGACGATATATCTCTAACCGGGTCTCTAGTGGAAGTCGAAACCCGTGTTCAAGTAAAGGAGATACTGATTCATTAATGAATTTTTACAGGCAAAATGCCGCTGACAATGTGTTGAATTGGCAGGTTACCTGATGAAGAAGCTGGGAAGGTACCAGCTGCCTGCGTGGTGTTAAACCAAAATGCTAAAGAGAGCGAAGGGGAAATCATGAACTACGTTTCATGTAATGTAGTACACTATAAGAGAGTTAGAGTACTGCAGTGGACACAATTCAAAAATTCCTCAAAGAAAGGGCTTATATAAAATAAAGAGAAATTCAAAACAAGTTACATGCTCGTGACCCACAACAACTAATAGGGCCAACATTTTAGAACTACTATTTTATTTTTGCAACTACATACTTTCCTGGAATAAGAAAGCCTGAAGGTGACTTAACTACTTTTTGTTCATTTTTTCTAGTCTGCCAGGCGACGAGTGCTCCATGAACAATGAGCGCTTCCTGCTCCGCCCGCAGCGCTTGCTGCCTCTCCTCCAAACCCTCTATGCGCTCTCTGGTAGCGCGAATGCGCGCTTCTTTCCTTGCAGGATCCATTGTTCTAACACTTCTCAAAAGGAAGTTTAGCACTCTACGGTGCTCTTGAATTTAATTTTGCAGAGTGCCCCTTTCGGCAGCAATTGCAGAAAGCCTGTTTGCAGTATCCATAGCCATACGTGCTAGTACTCAATTTCTTTGAAAAGAATTTGATGAAGTGAAGACACTTATCGAGCCTCCATTTATAGAGTGGTAGAGTAATCTCGCCATGCGTCAAGAATTGGATGGCAGGCACAATTCTTACTAGTTCTCCGCACAACTTTTGTGCAGTTGAAGACTATCATGCCTGTTTAAAAAAACTGGCTGGCTCTGACTACCTTGCGGAGCAAACAAAAGATCCCAAATACACCTGCCTTATGAACAAACAAACTTTGCACAACCAGCTTACGTAAAGATTCCATATTCTAGCCAATAGATGTACATACCATGTACTGAGTCGTCAAATGAGCCACGTTAAGAAAGCCCAAGCTTATACGCCTGGCCAACAAGGTGCCCCAATAGGGCCCGAATGAAAGACCCAAGCCTACATGAATGACATGAACCATCAAAGTCCTACAAATGAAGACTTGGCCCTATCAAGCCTGCTTCCTCGATAAAAGCCCACAGAAGGGCCAAAGCACAACAAGCCTATCCATCATCAAAGCAAGTCCAAGCCCATGCAAATGACCTCATTGTCAGGGAGCCCTTTCCTTACTCCTCAATATATCGCAGGTTCTATACATTAAGATTTGCAGCACCTATTCAGGAGCTGGGGAATCGGCTTGCAAGGAAAATCTTGATTGAAAGTCCATATCTTTCTATTTTCCTCTATCTCCGGCTAGAAAAGAATGTATGCGTCAAACTTTGATGTCTCACTGGTTTAGATACGACGAGATAATCATCAAAGTTCGGGAATCTCAACTGGAATACCTCACTGCACCGGTACCGGTTATGAGCCACATTCAGCGAAGAGTTTTGGTTTGTCCCTTAATGCATTATAAATTGCAAGAAATGAAAAGAAAAAGAAAAACTTAATTCTAATAGGTATTAGCTAAAGAACGATTTCCTGGAAATTAGAAACTTATTCCTTTTTTGTTTGGTGCGAGCTCAACTTAAGCTATACATTGCCCGAGAAGAGCTGTTTGGGTGCACCCAAACAGCTCTTCAACCACTTGCGGCAGAATTTCAAAATCTATTTAGTATGGAGATGTTGGCACAAGAAGGTGAACTGTCATTATATATCAATCTTTTGCTCTGGCTGCTATTGACTTGACTACATTGTCTCACTGAGCAGTGTTTTCTCATGGAGGAAAGAAAGATGGGCCAAATCATGCGGGTAAGTGCCCAAGAAATTTCATACTAGCTACTTCCACTACTGTCACCCCTAAGTATTGCATTATTTGTGAGAGTTCGGCCATTTGAAGAAAAGACATCAGATTATACAAAGTGTCCCTAATGCTATGATGTTGACACAATCTGGTTGGCGGCATTTTATAATTCAAAACATTCAAGATTATTTGGATCATTGTTCCAATATATCTCAGCCTTTCTGCAAGTTCCAATTTAGAAGGCTGAAATTGACCATTAGAAAACAAAACAATGGCCAATAAAAAGAATTCTCCTTTGAAGTTTATTTTAATGAGCATAAAACCAGGCGAAGAGTCTAATTACTGCTTTTCTGTTGTTTCACTTTATAGGGTAGGGTCACCGTGCCTAAGTCATAGAAAAGAAAATACATAAAGCCTAACAAGCGAGCCATGCTTCCTTGAAATTTGCCAGAACTGTCATCACCTATGGTTGATTAAGAAAAAAAACTGGAAACAAGAGACCTGGTTTTTTTTCCAGTTTCTGATTCCAGAATGTCTGCATCTATTGTTCTTGTTATAGATGAATGTTTAGATGAACTACACCTCCTGAATTACATCCCTCCTTGCATGCATTTGTTGATTCACTTCCCTCGACAACAAGAATTTAGAGTATATTGTATGGCCGCACAGTATTTTATGATTTTTCGGAGGAATTTATAGCATCCATCTGCTAATGTGTAATGTCCTGCCTGGTGACAAATCACCAACTCAGGAGTCCTTGAAAGCCTTGATCTACGGAACTGACATATACTTGTGCCCAATGCATGCATCATCAGAAGTGGCACACAAAATATTCTCATCACTGAGGCCATACAAATTGAACATTCCAGAAGCTTCTAGAGACCGGCGCCCGGGTACGGCAATTAAGGTTGCTCCTGCTATAATTCAAGGGCCCATCAGCAGAAATGTCTCGAGGAGTAGTTAAACGGGCAGGAGATAATAACAGAATAATTGTGTGCACTGGTGGACCTTATACTTATGTACCCGGGCTAGCGCTCTCTCTCTAGCAGAATGCTATCTGTTCTTATTCATATATTACCTTCCATTATTTTAAAAAAACACAAAAATAAAAAATGTTAAGATATTCTTAATGATATTCGGGCTTCTACCCAGCAGAGTCTTCCATAACTGACCGACTGGTGAAAGGATAGCCGGACCCGTTGATAGCCGGCAGTTATTGATGGCTCGGAAAGAAAGCTGGGCTAGGTCTTCTTCCCTTAGAGAGGCTTATTCTCCTTTCCCGAGTTCTCAAATATTTTCTTTATTCTCTGTTTATTCTATTATTAGTTCTATTGTTCCGATCCGCTTGTGTTTCAGGAAATCAAATCGAAGTCAATTCATTCAACAATGCCCCCTCGGGACATTCTGTATTGGATTTTGCCAACGCCGTTTCACCTTCCTTGCTTTCTGTTCTGTGTTGCATTTCACCATGGCACACTCTTCCTTAGCCATCATTACATTACTTATGCGCCAGCTTTCATCTCCTTCCACCTATACCTAATCCATTCATACGGGAAATGCCATCTTATTACTGTCCTATCCCCTGCTTTTCAACCTTTTCGTATCTCTCTTTGTACTCTTTCCTTTCTTTCTTTTCAATTCTTTTATTTCTTTAGTTTCTTTCTTAAGTAGCTTATTAGCTTGAAAGCTTTCCTTGCCTTTAAGGCTTTACCGGAATATGCTGAAAAGTGATCGGTCATTGAGGAAGACTTAGCTTAGGGCTGAGAAGTAAGGAGACTCCAACATTCATTTCCATTTTCTTTTTGTTTTTAAGCCTATTGGCCGACATTGGCATTAAGACTTAATGAATTTATTCACATATACCTACTTTCTTTATTCATTCACTAATACTTACGATTGAAACAGAACCGGACTTTGTTGGTTCTGTGCCGATAGTGTTCTCTCGTCTTTCAAATGGTGAATCACCGAAGCCGAATCCATCTTGTGCATACGGGAGACGATGATCGAAGTCAGACTTGAGTATGGGATGAGAACTCGCTCATTTTGATCCCCTTATTGACCAAGCAAGGTCGCACTGAGACTGAGAATACCAACGGAACACTCTCTTACCCCCACTGACCAGCTAGTGTGCAATGACGATCGGCCCGCAAGCTACTCGATTTTTTTTCTTAGCTGCTCTGGATTCTATTCTAGATGCTACTTACTTACATATGATGTTTTATTTCATAGGTTGCCCATCTATATAGCATAGCTGAAAGCGGAAAAAAAAGGCTGTTCCCATAGCGTTACGTAGGCTTAGCCCCTCTCTCTAACTAAGGATTCAATCCAGGGACGCTTAGGACTGGATTGAATCTTCCGCTTTTTTATATCAGCGAGCTAGACCCCTAAAATGCTCGGTACTTTAAAGTGGGGAAACCAATCCTCCTTGCTCGTTCCTAGGTCTTTTCTTCTTCTTTTTTATCGCCTTATTTCATTCACTGATTTCTTTAATTCATTTCTCTTTTGTGAATAGTGGGTTGTGTTGGATGATTGATGGGTAGTTTGAAGGACGAATGCTGGAGGGCAGCTTTTTAGAGTGGGCGCTCTGTGCGGTATATTTGATGTTTATGTCTGTATTTGTTCTGTAATTGGATTAGTCGTTTTCCTTAGTATGTCGAGGGTGGATTAATGAATGACTGTTTTAGCTCTATCGACAGAGGCCCCCACCTAAAGTTCTGACCCTTGCTTCAAGCTCTGCTCTGGGAGAATGGCCCCACCCGATGTAATCGACGTCGCATCTCGACCTGTTCGTGCTGCGGAGCGAACACCTACTTTGAGGAGAAAGAAATCCTTTCATAAAGTGAAAGTTAATTCAAGCCGGTACATCATAAATAAAAAGAGAGGCTTCAGTTTCTTGCTTATCTATGGAATATCCCATTGTTACTGGCCTTTCAAAAAATGAATTTTATTGTTAGGAAATAAGGGAGACTGTGACTCTCCCCCTTTATGTGTTCTATATCAAAGTCAAAGAGGGGCTTGCCATCTAGCGAAAATATGTTTTGCAGCGAGGGACATCTTTCTTAAGGGTTTCTTTCAACGCCTTACAATTTGTTCTCATCAGGAACCTCTGGTGTTGGATGTAGATTTTGAAATTTAGGATGGACTTCACCGGTTTTATTTTAAAGGGAAAGAGGAAGCCCCGGACATCAACTTCTTTGATGATGACCAAGAGGAGGAAGATATTTCCCAATAGCGATCCTCCTTTTGTCAAAATTATAGACCAGGTATTTATTCCTCTCCTTCAGGTTCTACTGCACCCTTCGGTCAAGTAAACCAAGCTCACAGAAAAAAGGAAATCTTTTACAGCGATGTATCGTACTCTCTCGACCAGGTCATCATAAGAAAATACTGAAAAATCATTCCAAAGTGAGAGAAGGAGGGAAGGCGCGCTACAACTAACATAGCAGCCAGTTGAAAAACGTTAGCTAGCTAGGCTAGCGCGCAATGACTTTCTCTGATAGGGGCTTGCTTCTTTAAGCTCCGCCCAACCTATACAAGGTGCTACTCGCTTTCTCTCATCCACTAGTGGCTTATGTAGTGGTCGGCATTCCTACGTGCTCCTCCTTGCCCCCTACTTAAGAATCCAAAGGTCACCTTTGGATGTTGTCGTGACGCTTTGGTTACGAAGGTTACCGCGGTCTAAGTTTATGGATGGATTCAGTCAGCTAAACTCCATCAAACTCCTCAATCAATATCAACAAGATGTCGTGACCGCTTAGGCTTGGTTTATTTTGTCATAAAAGAAAGTTGGTTTCATGGGTTCATTGATTAGTACACCTCCGGTGCTGGTAAGGCCGGGACCGTGGTCGTCCGTCTCCGATTTGCCGGCCGATAAGATCTTTGAGATTGACCAGCCAGCTGGGTTAGTTTGGCTATTCTTTTCTATTGAAAATGAGTCAGCTGTCTGCGCGAGTCACCTTCTTCTAGGCTCCACTGGACGACACGGCATTTTCGTTCAAATATATATAGGTCGGCCGTACTTGTGATGGTTCCCAAGGATCCAATATGACGACATAGGTCTACGTTGCCACGATGTTGTTCTATGGAAGCGGGCAGTTTAGAAGTTCGGCCCGGTTTTTTTGGTGTCGTAGGGGAGGGATTGACCTTTCTAACGCATATTCAGTCGTACCGGCATGGCCCCACTGATTTGTTTTCGATCGGAGCATCAAGCAGCGCAACCCGGTTCTACTTGACTAAGCCCGTGCTCCTCCAACGAGAGAGTTTGCTTTACCCAACTCTCTTTTTGATAACAAGGCAGAAATCCCCGACCCGACACTTGTTAGTTTCGAATGAAGAATGAAAAGTGCCCTGCCCTAGCAAGCACCTACTCCTATCAAAAAGCGAGACTTTACTAAACAAGCAAGAAAGGCTCTTTCTATCTTATTAGTCAAGCGCTAGCGAGCAAGAAAACGGATGTGCTAAGAAGCAACTTCGTGCAGCTGCTGCGCCCTTGCTTCTTGCCTTATCTTACTTAGTGAAGCAACCTTTCGCGCTAGGCGCTCACCTTTTTTGGCTTTCCTAAAATAGAATATTTGGAAGTTGGTAAAGACCCGCCCCTTGTTTCAGTCAGAATGAGTCCCCAAGACCCCGGGACATTGGCTTCCGCCAACAGTGAACTATTAAGGATCGCATCCGGCGCATATTCTACATTATAGCCTGCAACTGATTCAGCTTCCGCTTCTGGGAGATCAAACGGAGCTCGATTAGTTTCTGCTAGACGAGATATAAAGAACATAACCAATACAGGGAACAAAGGAATACCGGACCATATCTGCTTTTGCGCCATGACAATCTCACTCGAATTACGAGAAGCTACACATATTAGTACAGTATACCGGGGTCCCCGGCCAGAACCACACGTGCAAGTTTTCCTGCATGTGGCTCGTCCGTGCTTTCCGAGGCGCTGCCTGTGACTCAGCATGGGAGAAGGGGGTGGAACTGCACAATTTCATGTTCAGAGCATTGTTTTGAGGGAGAGAAAGTGTGGCTGACAATGTTCCTAGAGAAGTTCTCTGAAGAAGCTTGGAGGCAAAAAGCGTGTCGGTTCCCTACATTATGGCGATTAAAGACATGTATGATGGGGCTAAGACTCAGGTTAGGACAGTAGGAGGCGACTTTGAGGATTTTCCGGTTGTTATGGGATTACACCAAGGTTCTGCACTCAGTTCGTTCTTATTCGCCCTGGTGATGGACTAGTTAACACACCACATTCAAGGGGTTGTGCCATGGTGCATGCTATTCGCCGATGCATAGTTTTGATTGATGAGTTGCGAGCCGGTGTTGACGAGAGACTGGAGGTTTAGAGACAGGCTCTTGAATCTAAGGGTTTCAAGCTTAGCGGGACTAAGACAGAATACCTGGAGTGTAAGTTCAGCGATGATCAGGGGGAATTGGGCGTGGATGTGAGGCTTGAATCTCATGTCATCCCGAGTAGAGGCAGCTTCAAGTACCTTGGGTCGGTTATCCAGGGGGGAGGGGAGATTGACGAGGATGTCACACATCGTATTGGGTAGGATGGATGAAGTTGAGGTTAGCATCTGGAGTATTGTGTGACAAGAGAGTGCCACTGATACTCAAAGGTAAGTTCTATAAAGCGGTGGTTAGACCGGCCATGATGTAAGGGGCTGAGTGTCGGCCTGTTAAGAACTCACACATCCAGAAAATGAAGGTAGCATAAATAAAGATGTTGAGGCGGATGTGCGGGCATACTAGGCTGGATAAGATTAGGAATGATGATATTCGGGAGAAGGTGAGCGTGACTCCCATTGATGACAAGATGCAGGAAGCGAGGCTCAGATGGTTCAGGCATGTTCAGAGGAGAAGCCCAGATGCTCTAGTAAGGAGGTGCGAACAGTTAGTAATGGAGGGCACGAGAAGAAGTAGAGGGCGGCCTAAGAAGTATTGGGGGTAGGTGATCAGGCAGGATATGGCGATGCTTCAGATTTCTGAGGACATGACACTTGATAGGAACATGTGGAGGTCGAGTATTAGGGTTGTAGGTTAGGAGGTAGTCCAGTCTTGCCTTACGTCATAACTTTGTGAGACTAGTTTGGTAGGGACTCTTTGCTTTTGCTTTGTATATTTCTTCTAGATTTCATGTTGTTCCTAATTTTCCTATGATTTATATGGTGTTACTGATATTGCCTCTTTTTGTCTTCTTGAGCCGAGGGTCTTTTGGAAACAGCCTCTTTACTCTTTCGGGGTAGGGGTAAGGTCTGCGTACACACTACCCTCCCCAGACCCCACTAGTGGGATTTTACTGGGTTGTTGTTGTTGTTGTTTTATCTTCAAAGAAAGCAACACAGCAAGTGTGATTGCAACCGAACTTTGTGTTCACTGAAACACTGGGGTTTCCAGTACGACTACACCAGTGTATAATTCGTTCTATCCTAGGAGGAAATAATCTATAACCTTGAGTACTAGGAGGGGATTAAATTCCTCAAGGAAACACTTAAAATTCATTGGGCTCGGATTGACTTTTATTTTGTTTACATTTTCTATTTATATGTTATTCTATTTTTTTTCAGAATTAGTTTATAAATACAGTTTAATAACGGCACTTCTGTGAAATTATTTGTTATTCTATGATATAGTTTTTGAATAGAGAAAGATTATCCCTACATCAGTTCGTCCTATCATCCCTGCTTTCTCCAAAGTATAGTTTATTGTCGTAGTATTAAAATTATTTATAATGATGTGCTATAGTATCTAATTTCTTCTCAAAATGGATATTAGTTATTTATATACATGAGAAAGTAATTTTTTAAATTAGCTGCATAGTGATGCGATATTCATGTTTCAATATCTTTTTATTATATTAGTTCATTGTATTAGTAGAAAATAGGCATGATACATGAATTGACTATATGGTGACAAGTGACATTTGTACCAGACTAATAAAGAAGAACGATGAAGCACAGTTAAAATATTCACGGGATTTACAGAAGAGCGTATCATATCTGACAACTGGGAAGGAGGAAATAGGCACGAGATGCATGAAGGCCATAAAAAGGGGAAGATTTATGAACAGTAACGAATATGGAAAGAGAATCATCACCATCCCTGATTATGCGCGATCGCTTATTATTACCATAATTATTACGAGTAATTCAGTAACAAGCAATTAATGCAGATAATGTTGATAACGGGTAAGAGTTAAGTGAGGGAAACCCGTTACATATTTGTACCCTTATATAAAGGTCCTTACCTTATTTTGTACGATCATGAGAATACTCACGAATATACGCAATCAATCTTTTATATCTTACATGATTGAGGATTCTTGTTCACAATTCTGGGGAGAAAACAACGATCATCAATAAGATTTCTTCGCTTATCATTTCAATTGCTTATTTTATTCTCTATTTTTTGGCAAAGTGGAATAAACTTAATTATTAGAAACTCGATTTTCTTTAATATTGACTTTAACCGCAAAAATTATCTTTTGGTTAAACATTCATCTTATCTCATTGTAAGGAAAATCCAGATAGCTATTTGAGCAGTTGCAAGCCAAATACAAAAAAATCTCAGAAAAACTTGAGCAGCGAAGGCGATTGAAAACGATGTGAACCATGCAAATGGCAATAATAATATTTTTGGAGGTGTCGGTCGTGGGGAACTTATATTCAAAACCGTATATTCAAGTTGTAACTTAAAGACATTTGATACGCCAAAATTTAAAAATTAATTTCATGTACACGTGTTTCACAATTAATGCGACAACTTTTAGAAATTGTTGTAGCCAGTCCGTATAATTTGTTTTGGAAAAGTCTTTGCACGTTCTTGATAAAAAAATTTGATAGCCTCAAGCATAAGAGTATTTGTTTAATTTACCTTTTATGTTTATCTAAACGTCTCCCTTAATAAGCCACTAATTCAAAATAATAAGGGTAACAAAAAGTAACAAACAACTTATTGTCTTGATATTTAAAAACAAATTCATTTTTGTAAACAATTAATACATGGGACAGAACAAAGTACTTATATATTTAAATTAGTTTGACTTGCTAAAACTGTTGGCTCCAATCTATCTATCTATCTATAATTGTGGGACATAGCCCTGTGATGTGGCAAGCCTCATTGAGCAGGAAACCCAATTATCTTTTTTGTGAATTATTTGGCTTTTATCCTACTTTTTCCTATTAATTTGCCTATTTTTACAAATCCAAACGTCACTTGTTCAAAAATCAAAAGTAGGGCTGCTTATCGGGCGGATTGGGCGGCTTTTTACTCTTAACGGTTTGGCTTAACGGTTATCGGCTTTTAAATGTATTAATCCGTTAGCCACCCGATAAGATATCGGGCGGATTGGTATCGGTTTAGCTCTTATCGGGCGGTTATCGGGCGGTTTATCGGCCTAACATACATATTCACTAAATATCTCCCTCTACTGACTTCTTCAGCTATAATATGTATTAAAAACTGAATAGTTGATCCTGTGTTAGGTGAGTCAAAAGCTGTTGGTAAGGAGATAACAACGTCAAATTCTGAATCTGTTGGTATTTGGCAGACTGCTAAATATGTAAAGAGGTAATAGAGTAGCAATCATCAATATTTAGTGAAGCTATCTGCTTCATTCACTGAATTTGCAATGTAAACATTTCAGCATCATCAAAAAGAATTACAAGCTAAGGAGAACCAACAACTTGAAGCCAATCTAAACTTAAAAGTTGGATAGAAGTCTCCAAAATGAGTCCAGGAACATTATGAAATTATCAATACTGTCAAAGAACAAAGATTTTAAAGCAACTTCCCAATCAACTTGGGGCAACCTTCAACAGCAACTTCCATTCCCGTTGTTGCTGTTCTCTCATAGTTGAAGCAAGCTTCTCGTCTTGCAACTCCAAAAGGTCCTCCTACATCACAAAAACCATTAAGAAGCAAAAGCGTGTCAGGCACAAACAGCAAGTAAAACGACTATACACACAAGTTCAAGTTGCTTGAAACATAACACCTAAAAGGGATTGGAAGATAAGGCTCAGAAGTCAGGAAAACTTAGATTTACATCAAACATGATTGTTGGGTGTTAATGGTATCGTTAATACATAAAGATTACCAGTCCTTTTGGCTGTTGGGAATCTTCAGAATATAGCAAATACAACATACTTGGTTATTCAACAGAGTGCCCTAATTGAAACCCACACACATATAAAAAGCCAAACGATGATATTTAGTGAATGGCTATTGGTTCGAAATGAAGTAATATTGTATTAGCCTAGAGATCCTTTCTCTTTCATGTTGACATCAATGCAAATCATTTTCATCATCATGTATTACAAAGTCAGATTACACCAAGAAATACAGATGAAGTAAGCGTAGAATCCCATGCTCTCCATACTGAGGAGAAAAGCTACAATGATCAGATTGAAATTAAACAACCTTGATATTTGTAAAATTGTGAAATCAAACTCTACTAATAATGTCATAAATCCAGCATTTTAGCAATTGGGTTGGACATATCGAATGAGAGCTTGGATAATTCCATAATTAGTATATATATCAATAAATTAAAGCAAGTAAAGACACAAAAGTGTCAAAGTGTTGAAATGAGAAAGCATTGTTTCTTGGCTATCTTTAACAATTTCTCCACCGGAGAAACGGACATAAATTCCATCCGGCAAGTGATAATATTTAAAGCCAAGAACTCATATGCGAACAAAGAAGATTGGATCGCAGAAAATTTAGGGGAAACAAAACTGACTTTTTTTTTACATAAGAACTACTGATACAAGTATAACAACATTCATATAATCAAGATAAAAGTATAAAAGTACAATGAGCTACGGAATAATAACATTGTCCAAACAACCTAAACATAACAAGAAAAAGGAACATTACAAATTGTAAAAAGAAGTGCCATCAAACATCGTCAATCTATATCAACAATGTTCTACCAAACCATACAATACCCAGCAAAGCTCAGCAAAAACTTGAGTTGCCCCATATTACACCTCTACTGTAGTTGAAATTTGTGAGAAATACTCCTCTTTAAAGTCCCAGCAAAAATCAAAAAATCTTATTCATAAGTAAGAATACCTGGATAAGAAGAGTACCTGGAGAGACGAGACGGCGAGAGGGAGACCGGCGGCTGGTGGAAGTAGACGACGACGAGGAGAGGACTGGTGGCCGGTGGGTGGTGGGCGGTGGCTGTTGCTTTAAGCGTTAGGGTTTCTCACTTTCTCTAGAATTAGGAATTAGGATTTAGGAATGGGTTAGACAGTTTGGAGACAGAACATACGGGGGGGGGGGGGGGGGGTATGGTTGTTGTTTGTTTTTGTAATTTTGTTATACTTATTCATTTTTAAGGGTTTTAGTTTTTTTATATTTAATATATATAAATAAAAATAAATTATATATATATATTTATATTCTTCACGGGTTNTATATTTATATTCTTCACGGGTTAACGGATTATCCGTTAAGAAAATTGAATAATCCGGCCCAAACCGATAAGCCGTTAATAAAAAAAAAATTCAATCCGTTCCCCGTCCGTTAAGCCGTTACCAGTAAGCCATTAAGCTTCGGTTCGGTTCGGTTCGATTCGATTTTCGATTTCGGATCGGTTTTGAACACCCCTAACCAAAAGTCACGTCCTTCTCTCTTTCTCATTAAGAAACCAATTATGATAGCCTTAAAAATCCAAACTAGAACGTCTTTTCCAAACCGTTTGCTTGCAACGCTACAAATAACAATTTGCTTGCCCGTTTTCTTTTATCTCTTCACTAATGCCTCTTAAATATGTCTGAAAGCCCAAATTTCTTTATTCAAGTTGAACTTGCCCGTTTCACACCCTTCTGCGACATCTCGCAATGGTTATTTTGGTACTATAGTAAATTATTGTTGAATCTTTGTCAAATATATTAACAAATTTTTTTTTTTTTTTTGGCAGGATTGTTGTTGATTTAATCTTCTGATTTTGATATATTAACTTTTCCATGGGTGAAAATTTCATCAAATTTTGCTTCTTTGCAGATACGTCATAGAATGCTTAATTTGCAAAAGAATTCCATAAAAAATTATAGCAAGAACATATTACTTCTCGGTTACTTCATTAGAATCTAGGCTCAAGCTTTATGTGTTTTCCTAGGCTCTTAATTATGGTGCTTGCATGCTTATTACTAGTAATTAACATTATTGGAAAATTTCTGTAAATTATCTACAGTTGATGAATCCCTTTTACATTGTTTTTTTGCAGTGTCATGAAGCGCAGCAAAGACTTTTATTTTTAAACTTTTATGTGACGAGACGAGGGTAGTGTCCAGTTGGAGACAATACAGCAAAGGCTGGACTATGGAGAAGAGTACAAAGTAATTACATTGAAGCATATAATAAAATGAAAACAAGATAGTTTATAGAGGCAAAAGCAACAACATTGATAGTGTATGTAGTTCTGTGCTGGCAGTATAATGTTTAATTTTCTTCCTTCATTCGTTTTCTTACTGTTGGATTTTCTTTTCTCTTGGTTGATTCTAAACTGCATTATGTATAATATGACCTCCTTTTTCATGAAAAAAATGGTCTCGGTAATGGTAATTTTTGGTCTATGTATTAACCTTTTACAACTTGATTGCTTCTATGTTGAGCAAGAAGGATAACTAACGCTTCATATAGGAAAAAGAGATATAGTTTCAACACTTTCCTGGGGAAAAAAAAAAAAATCTTTCCTGTTGCACTAAGTTTTAGCATGTCTGTACGAAGGTGGCCAGGTAATTAAAATGTTCTCTGGCTTTTATGGGTATCAGTTTTTCTAATCTTTAAAATAACTATATTGTTTGGTATGCAGGATGGAATATATGATGCCACAAATAGAAGTTGGAATATGTTTATGGAAATGGCTAAAGAAAAATAGAAGGTATATTTTAGTAAATTGCTTGTGTATTGGTGCCTTGATAGATTTTTATACTGTATTATTCAGTATTTTTCACAATAAATATAGAGTCTTAATTACTTTTTATACATGAGGTTGAATGTGGTTTTTGGGATAATATCTCTTTTCTTGTAGCTATGAAGTCATTGTGACCTTCATTGCTCATTTGATCTAATGGAAGTGAATATATCTGTGAGCTAAAATTTGAAGATGAAAGTTTTGAATTGAAGCATGAACGAAAGGGACGTTATCAACAGCTAATGCTTATGACCTAACACAATACTTTCGTTTGGACATAAAATTTAATGGAAGATTTTTCCAAAAAAAATTCATTTGTTTTCGAAATCAGTTCATAAAACTTTACTTGAAGATGCATTTTGGAAATTTTCAAAAATTTGAAAAACTGCAAAAAACTGTTTTTCAAAATTGTCACTCAAATCATTCACAAAATTTCAAAAACAACCCAAACTGAAATTTATGTCCAAACACAACTCTAAATTTCAAATGCCATTATCATTTGAAAAAAAAAATTCACAATTTTTTTCGAATTTTACAATTCTTATGTCCAAACGCCTACTAAATTGACAGATCGTAAATTTTTTAAGATAACATTAGGTAGTGTGTATGCAGACCTCACCCCTGTTTTCAAATAGGGAGCCGGCATCCTTCCCTCCAAGAACTTTCCACATTGCTCTTGGGGAGACTTGAACTAACAACCTCTAGGTTGGAAGTGAAGGTTGCTTACCATCAGAGCAACCCCTCTTGTCTATATTTTAGTACTCATTTTTCTTAATTAGAAAAAAGTTAAAAAGCTCATAGTTACATATATAGTATGATCTGCTCTAAACTCAAATTTATGAATTAACCCCAAAGTATATTGTTTATAAGCACTTCCATTATCATAGAAAGGAGGGTTTAATAAATTTAAACATATTTTTCTTACGCGGATATATTAACTACTCCCTCCGTTTCAATTTATGTGAATACATTTGACTGGGCACGGAGTTTAAGAAAAGAGAGAAGACTTTTGAACTTGTGGTGTAAAATGAAGCACATATATTTTATGTGGCTATAAATCATTGCATAAAGGTAAATATTTCTAAATAGGGAAAGTGGTCATTCTTTTTAGCACGGGCTAAAAAGGAAATAGGTTCATGAAAAGGAGGGATTAGTAAATATATAAAGCAGGGCCCAAAAATCCTGACGTGGCACCTCTTATCGATCAGTATACATATTTTTCCTTTTTCACAAATTTTGGGGGGGTTTTTCCCCTATTTTACCTATTTATGTGCAATACTAAAAAAAAAAAAAAAAGGAAAATTGCCTCTCTTAATTGCGTCTCTTCCTCTTATTTGTTCCAATACGGCAATACACCGTTCCACTCCTCTTCCTCTTCCATTGAAACGCTTTCAGCGGCCTATTTCTCGTCTTTACTTACTTCAACACAGGTAAATCCCCTTTCTCTATGTCTGAGATTTTTGGGTTTTCTTTCATCTTTTCCTGGTATTTTCTGTGAATTATATCCAATATACTCTATTTCCATTCTTGATTTTAGGTTAATTGTTGCAATCAAATTTGCTTCTTTTGGCTATTCTTAAGATTATTTATGTGATAATTGAAAAAAACTGAAACAGCGGGGTGATTTTGAGGGGCGCAAGTTAGCAAAGATGGGGACGATGTCTCATTCATCTACTTTCCTCCTCCCAGATCTTCCTACCGACAACGGACCTGCTCTAACGTATGCGCTTGTTATCCTTAACCAACGCCTCCCTCGATTCACTCCTTTGCTCTGGGAGCACGCACAGGTTCATGTTTGCGCTGACGGTGGAGCGAATAGGGTGTTTGATGAATTGCCCCGCTTTTTTCCTCATGACGACCCTTCTGATATTCGTAAGAGGTACAAGCCATATGCTATAAAAGGAGATATGGATTCAATCAGAACCGATGTTCTTGACTTTTATAGAGGCCTGGGGACCAAGATAATTGATGAATCTCATGATCAAGATACCACAGATCTTCATAAATGTGTTGCATATATTCGTGAATTACTAAACCCAGAACATCCAAATTTGTGTATTCTAGCCACCGGAGCACTTGGTGGAAGGTTTGACCATGAGATGGGAAATATTAATGTCATATGCCGTTTCCCGTCCATGCCGATTATTCTTCTCTCTGATGACTGCCTCATCCAACTTCTTCCGAGTACACATCATCACAAGATTCATATCCAGTCCTCTGTTGAGGGCCCACACTGCGGACTCATACCCATTGGAACGGCTGCTGGAAGAACCACAACCACAGGTCTCAAATGGAATTTGGACAAGACAGAAATGAGGTTTGGTGGTTTAGTCAGTACATCTAATATCGTGAAAGAGAACATAGTAACAGTGCAATCTGAATCTGACCTCCTATGGACGATTTCTATAAAAAAAGAATGAAGGATGCAGCTTGCATATGACACAAATGAAGAGCCAAATTTTGCTAGATGAATCGTGGGTGCTGACCTCCATTTTCTGTTCAATTCTTTCCAGATAAAGAAGTTTCACAGAGTTTGAAAATTGTTGGGGTTCTTATTTTTTTTGGGAATACAGTATCTCTCCAGTCCGATTGTGTGCTGGCACACAGCAGTTTCTTTGGCGTCAAGTGCCTGTATCGCAGTAGTCTTGGGGAAACAAACAACACGGGGTCTTATGAGTAAAGAGTGCTTGTGGGGGTTTACCTTTGATTATCAACTTCTGTTTATGTGCTTGATTCATTAAACGCATTTGGTCCAGCAGTTCTCTAATCTTTTGTACACATAACTCTTTTACCATTATAATGAAACATGGAGACGTATATTTTTTCTTTTAAAAAAAAGATTATTTATGTGATTCTTTAATCTTTGACGAAATATTCATAAATTGCGTTCTTATACTTTGACGACTTTAGTTTCAATTATTTCAGTTGAACTTTTCTGAAAATGTCCTGCGGTCTAACGGACTAAAGTGTCAGAGCCTTCCACTCCTCCATTTGTTCTACCAAAAGCAAAGACGAAAAAGGAGTAGCGGAAAAGGAAAATTTGGACGGATCTGCTGCCGGAGATGTAAACAAAATGTCGGAATGTTTGATAATTGTCCATAAAGTATTTTAACTAGAAAGGAAAAGTTGTACCAAAAATCTCAAAATGTCCGGTATTTGTAGAAGAATTTCCTTTCAAAACTTTATGACCTTTGAAATCTATTTAGTTCTATTCCATATGGAAAATTTTCATAGCCCAAAATTGAAAAAAATTATTTTTCTTAGAACTACTTTTTCTGATTAGTCTTTGTCACTTCTGCTGCAGCATGAAGATCGAAAATGCCGGTTGTTCAAACTTCACCCGCATTATGGTAAGCCACCTTTGCTAGAGTCTTTGAATTCTTTTTATTCAGTCAGTCAATTACATCTCAATCTCGAAATAGCTGAGGTCAATTAGATAATTATTCTATAGAACTGTTATACTATACATATTAAACTTAAATCCATTTTGATTAGTCTCAATCTCTTTAGTTTTAATGTCGTGATATTGGTAATGGACAAAAACAAGGAAAGAGCGAGATGCCTGTCGCGCTTTACTGGCGAAGGGGATTTCATTGAGGTTTGTGATGGGAAATGGTTCTCAAAGGATTAGCTTCTCCACTGAGCCGTTGCTGATTGGCACATATTATTAGCTGATTGAGTTGGATAACTTTTTTAGGTGTTCATGGATGTTCCTCTGCATGTATGTGAGGCAAGGGATCCTAAGGGATTGTACAAACTTGCTCGAGCGGGGAAGATAAAAGGTATTGTCTGTTTTCTCGATCTCTCTTTTCTTTGTTTTTGTGAGTTAGGATGTTATATCAGAAAGCTTTATTACAATGTTGATGGATGAGGGTGGTCAGTTGAAATTCCGAAGTTATCAACAGGGTAGTTCTGATGATCTGCTTTCCTCAATATCAAGCTCCCTGGCTTGAACATTTTCGGCCCTGTTGCTGCGCAGGCAGAAGACTCTTCTTTAGGGATGTTAAATGGGCAAATTGGATCAAATTTCAATGAAGTCATGAGGCAATATGCCCAAAGTTGGTGTGGGTTTAATTTACCCTAAACAATGGGTCATTTCCAACCCGACCAACTCAACCATTTTTTATGGGTTTGTTTTTCTTATAATTTGTCTAATTACCAAGTCAAACTACAATCAACATTTTTTTGGGTAATTAAATTTTTTAATTAATCACCAGTAATCATTTACAAATCCATAGCTTAGTCAAAATAACTAGCTATCCAGGTACAAACACTAGAAAACCATACTAGAAACTTACTAAGTCAAATATAACTAGCTATCCAGGTACAAACACTAGAAAACCATACTAGAAACTTACTACAAAGAAATGTTCTCAGAAGTTATATTGCTGTAGAGTAGTTCTAACTTCAGAAGGTGCTCTCACATTGCTTATATAAGCAATCTTCTTTGCAATGAGTTCCCAATCTTTATAGAAAGAAATGTGAAATCAAACCGTCAATTTCTTTTGTATTTTTTGTCACATTTTTGTGGGTAAATTGTGTTATCTAGACTACATAAGCATCAACAAAAGATTATTGGGAGAAAAGAGCTAAAACAATAAAAATAAAGGCAGACTCACTTGCAAAAGCGCAAAACATATTTGGGACGGAATAATCTCGTCAAGACTAGCGAAATCAGAACTCCACATATCAGTGCCTCCAAAACCAATAAAAGATCCGGAGAACTCTGAAGAAAAAATAAAGCTACGTATCTACCCAATTAACTCCGGTAAGCGCTACAGACTACCAAAAGTGTGAGAATTTAGGAGGATCAAATGTATAGGTGGGAAAAAAAAAAGTATTCCTAGCCATAATGAAAACCTGAATAATCAATCCCGAAGCAAAAAACTCGAATGGACCAACCGACATATTGAGATACTTCGATGTCAATGGATCCATCTTCTGCAAGTACAAGTTTGCGAACGTGAATAGATGCTACATGTGCCAGAGGGAGGCAGAAACTCACAACCATCTTTTTCTTCAATGCCTTGTTGCAACAGATTTATGGAGTATGTTTATATCACTCTTTGGACTTAGATGGGTCATGCCACATAATATCAGGGATGCTTTTGAGCCTTGGAGTTACTGGAAAGTTGATAGCACCATTAGGAAAGTATGGAAGATGATACCTGCAGCTATTTTTTGGAGCAATTGGAATGAGAGAAACAGCAGGTGTTTTGATGGAGTATCAACCTCTCCCCACAAACTCAAAGCTAGATGCCTCATGTATTTGTATAGCTGGGCTCATCTATCCCCTGTAGACTCCCTTGATAGTTTTTTTAATTTTGTAGCTCCCTAGTACTAGTATAAACATTTGTAAGGAGCTAACAATTACTACACTCTTTTGTAATTTATGCATCTTCTTGATGCCAGTAATGAAATTACTTCATCAAAAAGTACAAGTTTGTGAACAACCCAAAACCGCAACCAAGTTCCAGCTAAAAAAGGGCAGCCCGGTGCACAAATCATCCCTCAGTCACGCAGGGCCCAGGGAAGGGCCGCACTCGAAGGCATGTGATGTAAACAGTCTACCCTAATGCAAGCATTAGTGGATGCTTCCACGGTTCGAACCCGTGACCTATAGGTCATACGGAGAGAACTTTACCATTGCTCCAAGGCTCTCCTTCCCAACCAAGCTCCAGCTATTACGAGGAAAAGCAGCAGGATTTGCCAACTGCAAAAAAAGTTCAGTGCATCACCCAAAATTCTCTGGAAAAGAAGCATCAGTATCACAAGGAAAATGAGTGACCCTACTGCCATTATATTAACCAAACCATGGGCTAGCTTTTAATTTGTGTTTGCAGGGAAAGTCTATGTGAGCGAATTGATTTTTTACAGCCAATTGAGTTCTCAAGTGACCTGTCATTTTTCGTCTCCATAGGCAGTAATGGCTACACCAACAACTATCTTAAACCTACATTTTATGACTCTAGCAAACGTTACTCTCCTGGATCTTTTGCTAAACTTCTCACTGATACACTTTCTCAACAGTTTCAGGCAAGCCCTTCTACATTTGGAAATCGCCACCAAATCTAAGTACAGAATCCATCCTCTATTCGACGCCCGAGACAGCTGATCTGGCGATATATTTCTTAGTTGAATGCACAGAGTTAGAGGGAGCTGAAAGCCTGACAAGACAGATATATTATTTATCCTTTTACCAGCTTCATTTGTTATGAAAAGCTCAGCAGAAATGGGAGGCCTGCCATTTCACGGTTCATAATTAGAATACTATCAAAATTAAAGAAGGCAAAACTCTAGAATCCTTATATTTTAAAGAAGAATCCACTATTATTTTAGATGATCTGTTGCTATATATTCCCACTGGAGACAATTTTAGATAAAAAGGGGAAAATGGCATCCGAGCTTGAGTTGGCTACCATATGAAATATAAAACAGACTACAAGCAGTAGAATATCAAAATATTTCCAATAATTGCAAAGTCCACGTAGGAAACTTCAGTTACCTCAATCGAAAAAAGTGTTTGGGACTGCGGAAAGGGATCTGTATCCACGAGAAAATAATGTTGAACAGCAACTGCAAAGCATCACGGGGAATCTGGGATATACCAGTATTGACATGTACAGTACTCGCTTGCAAACTAAGAAATCTCTGAACAGAATATCTACAAAGTTTAGCAACATCTCTTGCTTCAACACTAGTGGAAGAAATTTCATTTTGGAATTCTTGCATGGAACAGCTCCTAGAACTTCGACGGAAATCCAAAAGTTGCCGTAAATTTTTGCTAGTCTCTAAGTCTATATAGCCCAGTCTCCTTAATAAGTCATGAACCAGCAGAGTATGAAATTGCTCCTCTGAGGTTTCAAGACCATAAATACTACAATCTTGTTTACCATGGGAACTGACAAAAAGAAATGTTAATCCAGTACTAAAGGCTAATAGTGAACAACCTAATCCAAGATCAGAAACTATCTTCATACTTTTTCTGTCCATGCCAATGAATGACGCTACTAAGAGATCAAATTCTCTTGCTAGCCTCATGAGCTGAGAAGAAGCGTGGGCAAGCAATTGCAACAAAGAGCTGAGTCCTTGTGAAGATTCCAACTGCTGAACCAAAATCCTTTCCCCTAGTCGTTCAGTACTTCTGGAGGCTTCTGCTGAAAACGAATTTGTGCTCAATAATTTAAGTACATCTGCTACCGTTCCAACAACCTTTGATCTTATAGTAATAAACCATCTCTGGAAACTAAAAGCACGACCAGAAACAGAGGTACCAAAAGCTTCCTCTAAAGAACAAAGTTTGTTGGAGGCCCCGACAACATTTTCAATTTGATTAACTGTCGTAGTGTCCCCGGCAGTATTTCCAGAAAGAGTGAGCCTGAACAACTGGACTTGCCTTTCTAATTCTGAAAGATGGGATAAGGATTTCAACCACAAACAACAGATATCAGATCGAACCATAGGAATTAGATCCCCAAATATGTAAGCAGCTACCAACCATGCACCATGACATGCCGCATATTTTCCAAGCTTATAAGACGACCAGTAGTCTTTTTTATCCAAAATTTCCTTCACACAGTCAATAATGAGACTTTCATTCTGGGATAGGGAACCATAAGCTGAGAGAGAACTACAACGAGATAAACGAAAATTTCTATTAGAAACCGTATCTTCCCCTATCTTCAGCCACATACAGTGATATCCAGCATGGAAGTGCAATAAAAGGTGATATATTAGGCGGATGTAAACAGGAAGTAAGCTGCACCGGTGCACATGCTCAACCAAATGCTCCATTCTGTTAAAGACTTGGGTGGCACCAGCAGTGGAAACTTCCAGCATTTCAAAGCAAGTTATCAGAATCTGGGATAAACAAACCAAAACTCTCGATGCAGTTGATGTATGGTTCTCTTTGTCGAGCTCTATCATATGATGATCTTCTGAGCCTGAATTCTCCATGCTGGTAACTTCATTGAGCATGCGGACCAGATGTTCGATAACTATACAGATCTTATCCAATACAATACCAGAGAGATCTCGATGCCTTTCAACCAGATTAACTAAAATAAAGAGTAAACTCGTTACCTCCTGCTCCGCCTCTTTGTTTGGATGAGGATCATCAACCACTAACTTTATTAGTTGGGAGATACGATCGATGGTGAAAGTAATCATGCGAGATGTAACAATTGAACCAATTCCACCAGCTGCATCTTTCGGTATTCCCAAAAGCTTGTCAAAAATACTAGCTAATACATGAACAGAGAAAAGCCTCTCTGAGATAATTGAAGAATGTAGTTTGAACTCAACAATTTGTAAGAACTTGGAGAAACTAGTGAGGATCTCTGTGCATGGAATTGTCTCCAGGTTGAGCAGCAGCATCTGCAAAGTAAGAGAACGTAAACAGTAGGCGTGTGATGCCAATACCATAAGTTTGACATAACGAAAGAAATACCTTGTATAAAGCTCTTAGAGCTTCAAACTGTAAAGCTGGTGGAAAATCAGACTGATTTATGATACCAAACTACTTTAGAGTCACATTTGAACTGGCATGGAAGTGATAAATTCCTTTGGCTAAAATGAAGTGGAGGCATTTTAATGCCAAAGCTTGCAGGCTCAAACCTCTGTCCTTTGCCATAAATGAGAAAAGTAGTTCCATCTGGTAAAGAAAAGCAATTTCATCTGTTACCAAAATCCAGTAATAAATACGCAAAAAATCAGGTAGAACGTACAATAGATGTCCCTGATTTTGATATTATATAGTCTATGATTCAACTAGTTTGCAGAGACCACCTCAGTCATGATTAATATAGTAATATCGCATGCCTTACATATTAAACCAATCAATCAACTGTACCTAAATCCCAACCTAGTTAGCCTAAGTAAATATGATTCTTCTCTATACATTGTGCTTTATTCAGGCCTATTTCATTCTAATATTGGTAAAGAATTGGTCTTTTAAATTAGGGGTTCTCTAAAGCTAGAGATTCCCTATACTTAGCACTTATGCTTACTCTGGCAGAAGCTTCTCTAAAACCAGCTTCATGCCTAAAATGAAATATTTGGAGGTCCACATAGGAGATGGTGAAACCATCTTAGGCAACCTTCTCACGTTTCCGGTTATGTACTGATTTTTATCATTTTTCAAGACTTATGACATTGTATAATTAACCTCAAATTAATATCATAAATTCCTAACACCAGCTATACACACCGTTTACCAACATATTCATCTTGTAAGATTACATAAAACCTTAAAATATGGTAGTTTGCTGTTTTGTGCTTTTTGGGTCTTAAGTTTCATTTCAAGAAAATTAATTTGACTCCATCTTATTTTTCTATTTCCTTTATCATCATTGCAGTTCTTTACCATTAATGATTTAGGACTTTGAAACAACACTTAGCTTCCATTTCTTTTCTTATTTTCCTTATCATTTTTGTAGTTCTTGCCTCTCTCTTTGTACGTTTGCTGGCATTAGAGACAATGAAAATCAAAATAAATGAGTACAATTATATACCTGTATAGGAATTAAAGATGTCCATTTAGAAGCAATTTTGGAAAGTGAAACTAGCATCACCAACGAGAAGTCTTCTTCTGAAGATTCTAGGATAAGCTTCATACCAGTCTGCAATATCAGAAAGGTCCACTTTAGCACTGCAATAGAAATTTGAACTCACTTCTGCATGTAGGCAAGTGGTTAGAAAATACAGGTGTACCTGGTATCGTTAAAAACATATTTTATTGAAGTTGTAAGTTGCAACAAGAAACTATTGAAATAGTCATTAATAGATTATAGCTAGCGTTTCATGCATACAAAGGAAAAACATTGCATTCACCATGCATAAGGTTGTCATCTTTATGACTGTTTAACAGTATGGTTTCTGAAAAATGTTTTGTTCGAAAAGCAAGCACTTTTAGAGCAAAACGAAAAGGGAAAGAAGGATAAGGGGCCTGTGTAATGCGCCAAAAAGTGTAATCAGAACGCCTGCATGTGCTTGGTGGCAGAAACACGTATTGAAGAGAAATACTAAACCTTATGAGCTCTATCCACTAGTAAAAGTGAGCACCACATTTTAGCAAAAGCACGTCCTCCTGCTAACCTTATAACCCTTGATGTTTCAGATGACATCAAAAGACCTCCAAGCATTTCCAGAAATACATAAGCAAAGTCGTTCGCCAATTCAGAAAAGCATCCAGCTGCAAACAAAGAAGCCTTTGCCTGTAGATAGAAGCAAAATGTTTGTATCAGTTATCATTCATGCCAAAAGCTAGACGCAAACAGAAACAATATGTACTATGTAGTTAGTGTTACCTCAATCTCTGGACTAAAAACGAAAAGAAGAGCAACGCAAAATAAGATGGTCAAGTATTGGCGACAAAATGAAAAAGTGAAGTTCTCTACGGACAAAGGAGACAATGATCAGTGATACCCCTATCACATTGATTAGGAATATCAGACAGATGAGGAGGGCAGTAGGGACGATAGCGAAGAAAGGAACCACGGGAGGGACAGGGTCCACAGAGGATGAGATCGTCGAACGCTTGATTAAACTCCTTCTGCCCCTTAGAATTTTGATCATGCTGAAACTTCCACAGTTAGTTTAATTGTTAGAGGGAGATTATTGCCTCGGAGCATAATTTTTCATAGGAGGTAAGATGATCAGACCTTTCCCAGGGTCATAAAAAACAATGCCAAACATAAAATTCTTGCAGTTGCCCAATGATCCATCCATAATAGGGGTGTGCATTTGAATCGGTTTATCGATAAATCGAATCGATTATTTGTTATCGGTTTATCGATATCGGTTTATCGATTTATCGATTTTGATTCGAAATTTTCCTTATCGAGTTATCGATTTCGATTTTGTCCTCTTCGGTTATCGGTTTATCGATAAACCGATAAGATATACTAAAACCCTTATTCTATAATACCCTTTCCTTTACCCTAAGTCCCTAACCCTATTATTTCATCTACCAAATTTAAGGAATGATCATATTTAAAGCTCAAGGGAATGAAGTTCAAATTAATGGAAAATAGAATTAGCCGTGATGATGTATTTTTATTTTTTCTTATACCGTTGGAGTGTTGGTGGCATGCATTTGATCCCTTACTTTAGTTTCGTTGCATGTGCTTGTTGACACAATTTTTATGTTATAAACGGTGTTCGTCTTATTTTAGCTTCTTTTTGTCCATACTAGTGTTAGTGTACGCGCTTTGCGCGTGACCCTATCTCAAAAGTAAAAACTTATTTAAAATTTATCTTTGAGTTATAAAATTAATAAAAGTATAAGTTCCTAAAAAGAATTAATATGATCGTGTATAATTAAATCTATAATGAAAGAATCCAACATAAATACTCAATTATCAGTTAATAATTCAACTTAAAATTTACACCAATGACTAAAATTAGAATTGAATGTGTCTATTTGGCTTTGAAGTGTCTATAATTTATTCTTTCAACCAAGTCTCATGAATTTGGTTTTTTTATTTTTGTTGTGTCTGTATAATCAATTTTCATTTAAATTGGGACTTTTTAAAAGTAAGTCTAATTTAATTAAAAGAATATTTTAATATTTTAAACTATATTGAAAACGGGGACGCGAACCAGATCGGTTAGGAAAATATAGGAATTGAACTTTTATCCAAGTTAAGTAGCAGTTGTATGGTAGCAAGGAAAGTTGATTGTTATTCTATAGCACCGGGGCTACCGTCCCGTGCGTAGATTTTGTTTTTATTTTGTTTGTGAGTTGTTTATAATTTCAATGGTAATAAAAGTTTTTAATTACCAAAAAAAATAACTGAAAAAAGAAAGGAGAAGAGCATTCAAAGATTACTACAGATAGGTCGAGTAAATGGGGAATGCAAGTTGACCAGGAGTGTGTACTGTATACAAAAGAGCATGAAACTATTCAACACCTATTCTTTGAGTGTTCCTATGCAGCTAAATTGTGGGGCAATCTGTTACAATGGCAAGGTATAAGGAGAGCAGTATATGGATGGACTGAGGAGTTAGCATGGGCTGAAAAATGGGTGAAGAGACAAAATGCAAACACTGAGCTGTTCAAGATGGCACTGGCAGCATGCGTATACCATGTATGGCAGGAAAGAAATGCCAGGATATTCAAAGAGAAGGCCAGGAAATGGGAGATACTGGACAAACGGATTATACAGGAGTTACACTGTCGAAGCAACAAACAAGTAGAGAAAGCACTATGTAGATTAGACTGGTATTCAATGTAATTAGTTCAAAAGATATAGCTATAGAAAGGTAGTCAAGGGGGGAAGTAGTACAGAAAGGCTTAGGATATATGTAAAGGGTTATTGCTTTGCTTGTAAATATTTTCCCTGGTAAATGAAAATTGTTAATTACCAAAAAAGAATATGATGTGTTCGTGTTCATGCTATATACGATATATTATTCAAATTTAATGATACAATTATAATAGAGAGATAATTATTTAACCCTCAGGGATTGGCCTGGTGGCAATTGACTTGAGCCTTGGGGTTTGCTCCCTTTCAAGGTCTCAAGTTCGAAACCTACTGGGTGCAAACAATTTCTGAGGGCCATCGGACTGGGTAAAACCTGAATTAACCGTGGTGCACTTGCGGGAAACTCCTTGCCGAGGGCCTGTGCACCCCCGGAATTAGTCGGGGCTCTAAGAGACTCGGACACCCGGTGCAAATCAAAAAAAAAAAATAGAGAGATAATTATTTATGGCAAGGAAATAACATAGTATGCATAATTGCATATCTCTTGTATTTAGATAGCTACACTGGCGAAATTTTTTCTCATGCTACAACAAGGAGAGAAAAAGGTCTGCAAATCATAAAATAAAATAAAAATTAAAAGTGGGCATGCTTACATGTAATCCGTTAAAATTTAATAAGAAAAAGGAATGCATAAACATGTCAAACTATGAAAGGAAAAAAGGACTTCAAAACCTAAAAGGAATGGAGAAAATTCTAAATATTAGGAAAATAATTAATTATCTATTCTTAAATATAAGGAAACTAATTAAATATTTATTCCCAAATATTAGAACCTATTAAATGACCGTTTCGTCTAATGTAAAATTAAATTTTAAAGGGTAAAAAAGGCGAACTACATTTCGCTAAGGGCTTTCGTGCTTTTAATATAGTATAGATTAGTTAGGCGTGTTCAGCGATATACTTTCCGTGGAATCCCGCAAATTTTCTTATTGGTGTAATCGATAACCGAATCGATAAGCCCCAAAAATCGATAAATCGAAATCGAAAAAATCGAAACCTTATTGAAACGATAACGATAAGCATATGTACAAATCGATAATCGATAAGTAATTATCGATAAGGGTCAAAATCGAATCGATAAATCGAATGCACACCCCTAATCCATAATGTGGTTAAAGGGATTAAATCCCTAATGTTTTTTCAAGACTTAAATTTTTTTAGATCTACTAATCACCTATCTTTTGTCTGTCTTAAGAGCCTTTGGTTAGTAAAGACAAGATTGAAGGATTTAGGAAAGAACGTGGTTTTGCCATTGTTTTCATAACATAAACGGGAAACTGTGAATATTTTTGGACTCCTATTTTGACTATCAGATCATTGAAGATCAAACAAACAGCATGTTAGTATTCAGCTAAAACACTCTGAATATAAAACTCTCCAGTTTGTGTTACTTGCATAGTTGCATTTATCACAAATGCACAGCTAGGAGTTAGCTCTAAGGGAGCAGACTAGAGCCTTAGCGGAAAATTCAGGTCCACGGCACATAGAGGGAGACTTTAATTTTATATTTTTCCCAGAAGAAAATTTGAGAGGACTGCCTCACAGATTGAGAAAAAGTTTTGATTTTATTTCTCGACACCTAGAACCAGATTTGGAACAAGGTGCTTCTTCCAAAGTCTACTTTTTCATGTGGAGGCTTTTGTAAAGTTAAACATGGTACCATTCAGATTTCAGATTTTTTGGCATAATGCGTGAGCATGGTACACGTTCCACAGTACCATGGAGAACTTATTTATGACTGCTGAGCTAGCTGCCAAAATCTGGAAACTATTCTGAAACCTATTTGGGGTAAAATGGCAGGATCTTGATCATTCATATCCTACAATGCTCTTCAGCACACTTGCTCCAAATCATCCCCATAATAGTGTATTCGGAACTGGGAAGCATGGAAGAGCAAGCAGATTTTCCAACCAAACATGTTATGGACAGGGTGAAACATCTTGTACTCCAACACCTTAATAAAGTCTTCCCTAAACTGAATCTTAACAAGCAGTGGATAATCTGTTGTGATGAAATTCTCTCATACAAGCCCCATATGGACTGTAAAGTCGTTTACTGGGAAAAAAGTATTAGCGGAAACGTAAAAGAAAGAACACAAGATTTAACGTGGTTCGGATCAAAATGATCCTACGTCCACCAGAGAACAATTGCCTTTTATTATTAACAAAGGAAGGGGAGATTTCCCAATTACACTTGGGAGAATTTCTCTCTTAACTCTCTACTCACTACAATGTATTGTATTATTTTTGGGATGATCTCTACAAATGAAGGAGTGCATCTATTTATAGAGGTAAAGTCCTCCTCTTGATGTACATCAAACTACTTCCTCTTGATGTCATGGGTGACATCAAAGGAGGAAGCTTCCTCCTAGCATTCATACCAACTCTTTCCACCAACTCTTCCAATTGGCATGCCAATGTTGACTAAACATAAACCAACATTTTCAATCTCCACCTTGGTTTGCGTTTCGAGCGTGCGTGTGAACAACTCTGGCCAAAACTTCTAAGCTTACTGGGCAATCCCGTTGTAAGAAACAAGAAGAATCAAACCATGGTTGAACATACCACCTCCACCTAACAATTGTTCTCTTCGGAGTTGCATCAGTTGATGCACACCCCCGCCAAGTCCTTGCAGTGTGCAAACTTAGCGAGCGGGACTATCTTGGTCAACATGTCTGCAGCATTATCGTCTGTGATAACCTTCACGACCTTGATAGTTCCCTCTTCAACAACATCTCGAATAAAATGAAATCTGACATCAGTGTGTTTAGTGCGCTCATGAAATCTCTGATTTTTCATTGGATGAATAGCACCTATCACATCTAAGAGTTGATTCCAGCTGAACCAAACTCAATTCCGCTACTAAACCTTTCAACCAGATAGCTTCCTTCACCGCCTCCGCTGCTGCCATGTATTCTGCTTCTGTCGTAGACAAAGCGACAATCGACTGCAGAGTCGACTTCCAACTAACGGCACTGCCAACGAGGGTAAAGATGTATCCGGTTGTGGACCTTCTTCTGTCAAGATCTCCTGCATAGTCAGAATCCACATAACCGAGAATTGAAATACCTCCACCACTTTTTCGAAAGGTCAGACCAACACCAGAAGCTCCCTTAAGATATCTCAATATCCACTTGACAACTTCCCAATGCCTCTTTCCTGGGCTGGACATGTATCTACTTACCACACTTACAGATTGAGCAATATCTGGACGTGTGCATACCATAGCATACATAATGCTACCAACGGCACTGGCATAAGGAATCTTTGACATATGCTCCACCTCATCCTCAGACTGAGGCATTTGTAACTCTGAAAGTTTAAAATGAGGAGCTAATGGTGTACTTACAGGCTTGCACGTATGCATATTGAATCTCTCGAGAATCCTTTCAATATACCTCTTATGAGAAAGATGTACAACACCGTCTTCTCTTGAAATATCCATACCAAGGATTTTCTTTGCAGCTCCTAAATCCTTCATGTCAAATTCCTTACTCAACAATTTCTTCAAAGCATTTATCTCTGTAATGTTGTTAGCAGCAATAAGCATATCATCAACATACAACAGTAAATAAATCATTGAGTTACCAGACATCTTCTTGTGATACACACAGTTATCAAATGCACTCCTTAGAATTCATGTGTAGTCATGAATGCGTCAAACCTCTTGTACCACTGTCTAGGGGATTGCTTCAATCCATACAAAGACTTCTTTAGTTGGCATACATGATCTTTTTTTCCCTCAGCTAGGAAACCTTCAGGCTGATCCATATAGATTGTCTCTTCTAGATCACCGTGTAAGAAAGCAGTTTTGACATCAAGCTGTTGAAGCTCCAAGTCAAATTGTGCAACCAATGCTAGTAGCACGCGAATTGAGCTATGCTTCATGACGGGAGAGAAAATCTCATTGTAGTCAATTCCCTCCTTCTGACTGAAACCTTTTGCAACCAATCTTGCCTTGAGCCTAGCATCTTCCACTTCAGGAATTCCCTCTTTCTTTCGGTAGACCCACTTGCATCCAACTGTCCTCTTCCCCTTTTGTCTTTTCACTAAGACCCATGTCTGATTCTTTTGAAGAGACTCCATCTCTTCAGTCATGGCTAACCGCCATTGTGCAGTATCCTTGCAAGAAGTTGCTTCAATATACAAGGAGGGCTCCAGATCCTTAATCTCTTCTTGTGCAGCTACGAACGCATATGCAATCAAGTTCGCTTGATTTATAAGGCGTTCCGGTTCTCGTGTCTGCCTCTTCTCCCTCCCCTTCGCAATTGTGTATGGTTCATTGACAGCAAGTTCTTCAAGGTCTACATCTTCTGACTCATCTTTAACCTGAGTCTCTTGATCCTTTTCCTTGGCAAGCTCCACCGGAAGCTCCACCTGCTCGTTGTTCTTGTTTCCTGAAAACTCCACGGAAACTTTACGGGGATCAAATATAGAGGACTCATCGAAGGTGACATCCCTACTAACTATAAATTTGAGTAAAGACAAACACCAAAGTTTGTACCCTTTTACTCCACCCACATACCCTACGAATATGGCCTTCTTAGCCCTTGGTTCAAGCTTTCCTTCATTAATGTGATAATAAGATGGACGCCCAAATACTCGTAAGTATGAATAGTTAGAGGGTTTACCTGACCATACCTCATTCGGAGTCTTAAAGTCAATTGCCGATGCTGGAGATCGATTGACAATATGAGCAACAGTGTGAACTGCTTCAGCCCAAAATACTTGGGACATTTTGGCTTGTATGAGCATACAACGAGCCTTTTCAAGAAGAGTTCTGTTCATTCTCTCGGCAACTCCATTCTGCCGTGGGGTATGCCTGAAAGTCCTATGTCTTGAGATCCCATGAACCTTGCAGAATTCATTAAACTCTTCATTGCAAAACTCCAAGCCATTGTCTGTGCGAAGATACTTGATTTTTCGCTCCATTTGATTTTCAACCAAAATCTTCCACTCTTTAAATGCTTCAAAAGCATCACTTTTTGCCTTCAAAAAATGCACCCAAACCTTTCGTGAGAAATCATCAATAAAAGTGAGAAGATACCTCTTTCCGCCCTTCGATGGAAGTTTAGAGGGACCCCATAAATCTGAATGGATGTAGTCTAGCACTCCTCTTGTCTTGTGTTTGCCAGTGCTGAAGCTGGCCTTCTGCTTCCCTAGAACGCAATGCTCATAGAAGTCAAGCGCGCTGATCTTCTCACCTTGCAAAAGGTTACGATTGCTCAACATCTCCAGTCCACGTGCGCTCATATGACCCAGTCTCATGTGCCATAGTCTTGCATTGTCATCATTAGATAATTGCACTGTAGATGCATTTGCAGAGCCAACAATGGTGCTTCCGGCCAATGTGTAAAGGCCGTTCTCCAGCTTGCCTTTCAGCATGATTAAAGAACCTTTAGTCACCTTTATAGTTCTTGCTTCGCTCATGTACTTGTAGCCTTGTTCATCCAGAGTACCCAAGGAGATCAAATTCTTCTTCAGATCAGGAACATGACGGACTTGTGTAATAGTCCTCACGACTCCATCATGGCAGCGAACTCGAACTGAGCAAATGCCAACTATTGCACAAGTTGCATTATTGCCCATTACTACGGTTCCTCCACTTTTCTCATAGCTGCTAAACTAGTCTTTTCGGAACGTCATATGCAGAGTACAAGCAGAGTCTAACACCCATTTGTTTCCATAACTACTACTATTACACGATGTTGTTAGTACATAATCATTATCAAAATCATGTACCTGTTCAACTGTAGATGCACTCGCCTTTTCCTTGGACTTTGACATTGGGCAATCTCGTTTAAAGTGCCCCTTCTTGCCACAACCCCAACACTCTGTATTCTTCTTGTTCACACGAGACTTTGATCTGTGCTTTGATTTGCTCTTTCCCTGTTGGCTAGTCCGGCCTCTCACAAAGAGCCCACTTGCCTGGTCATCTCTGCCTCCTTCAATGTACCTCCGCACACCACTAGAGTTAAGTGCCTGCCGCACTTGCTCAAGCTTGATAGGCTCCTTGCTATACATCATTGAATTCTCAATATCACGATATCCTAAAGTCAATGAAAATAGCAAAGCACATGCAAGCGTCTCCTCCTCCCTTTTAATTCCTGCAATCTGTAAGTCCATGACATGTTTATTGAACGCATCTAAATGATCTTGTAACGAAGTACCTGACCCCATCTTAAATGTGTGAAGACGCCGTTGTAACGAGATCCTTGTTGTCACTGATCGGTCTTGGTATAGCCCTTCTGGCTTTTCCCATAAGTTTGGCCGTCTCTTCGGTACCCGTACTCACTTCACAAAGCACGTTAGGTGCAAGGGATAGTTGTATTGCACTCAATGCATCCCCTTCAATCTTCTCCTTGTCGGGAGCTGATATATCCTTAGGATACTTTCCGTCAATAGCATGGATTGAACCTTCCCTCCGCAGTAACACCATCATCCGGATCTTCCAGATATTGAAGTTGTTGCGTCCACTGAATCTATCGATTTCAAACTTCATGGAACTCATCTTTGCTTGTTCTTCCTCCTTGGATCGTTAAGGAATCAAGTCGCTCTGATACCAATTATTAGCGGAAACGTAAAAGAAAGAACACAAGATTTAACGTGGTTAGGATCAAAATAATCCTACGTCCACCAGAGAACAATTGACTTTTATTATTAACAAAGGAAGGGGAGATTTCCCAATTACACTTAAGAGAATTTCTCTCTTAACTCTCTACTCACTATAATGTATTGTATTATTTTTGAGATGATCTCTACAAATGAAGGAGGGCATCTCTTTATAGAGGTAAAGTCCTCCTCTTGATGTCATTGGTAACATCAAACTACCTCCTCTTGATGTCATGGGTCAAACTACCTCCTCTTGATGTCATGGGTGACATCAAAGGCTCCTCTTGATGTCATGGGTGACATCAAAGGAGGAAGCTTCCTCCTAGCATTCATACCAACTCTTTCCACCAACTCTTCCAATTGGCATGCCAATGTTGACTAAACATAAACCAACATTTTCAAAAAGAGTCAGCAATATTGGGTTAATACAACAATAACAACTATACCTTAGTCCCAAACAAGTTGGGGTCGGCTATATGAATCGCTGACCACATTACTCCATCTAAACTCATCTCATGCCAATATTATGCACAAATAATATGAATATTGGGTAAATAATGTCAAAATAATATGTAGTGCTGAGTAATATGAGCACGTCTTACCTCCAGAACATGCATAGACACCAAGCTTGAAAGGATGAGGTATCTTACATCAGCACTATCTTTTGCAATATGAGCCCAGCAACCAAATAGAGCTAAAGCCAATGCTCTCTCTTCAACGTCTCCGGTGTCGAATACTATCTTTATTCTACTTAGAAGTTCTCTATAGCTATCTATTTTATCCTTCGAAAGGATCCCCTTATCTTTTCTCCCCTTGCTCCTCAATCGACTCCTCTGCTTGAGCTCGGACAAGAAAATATTCAAAATGCAAAGCTTCATATGTTTGTCCCCTGACTTAAATGCATCTGCAAGCCTAAGGAGGATAGTATTTGCAAATAGCTTATCCTCCCCAGGAATTAAGCCGAATACTTTGTACTCAGCAACACTAAGATTTGACTCTCTACTCCACCACTCAAGTTTTGGCCCAATATCTAGTATGGCTTCTGCAGATTTACCTAACCATCAAGAGAAAGAATACACAAGTATCACTCAGAAATGATAAAGTTATTGCAAAATGGATTAAACCAAACAATGATTCTTCACAACATTTAAGAGACATTGACAATCAAACTGGAATCATCATTGAAAATTATAAGAGCAAAAGACGTTCTTATAGAAAACGACAAAGAGGGTGTTTGGGTGGCTTAAAAGCTGTTAAGCATTTTGTGGCTTATTTTGGTGTTTGGTAAACACCAAAGGTGCTTTTAAGCCAAAAGAAGCCATAAGTTGTTCACCCCTCACTTATGCTTTTCAGTTTACAAGCTCTTTGAGTTTGACCAATTATTTTACTATGTTATCCCTTGAATTTTCTTATAATCTCCAAAATACCCTTCATTTCACACTCTTATTTATTTTTGTTTTTCTGTTCCGGAGAAGCTGTAGTTTTCTTTCTCTTCAAAGGCCAACACGTAAGTGATAATTCCATCCCTTATAATAAGTATTACCATTATCTACAAATATCATCTTGCCATTTGACCAAACATCCAGTTTGAAACAGATTTTTAACCGTGTCGATATTAGATATGAAATTTGCAAGGCTCCCTAATGACAACTGCAAAACTCAAATGGATTTGCATATCCATTGCATTACGTTATATCATATCCTATATTGATCGAATGGTGGAGATAAATCAACTAATATATTGTATCTTAACGTGCTCTTTTCTTCGAATTTTAGACACATTTTGTATTATAATTTTTAATTTAGGCATACATTTGGACAAAGTGGGCTTTGTATTATACTTTTTCCTGTGTGATAGTGGTTTAAAGCTTTGTCGTCCTCCAAAATCAGTGAATTGTGCAATTCAACTGTATTTAAGAAGATTAAATTGTAAAGCAGAGAGATTTTCTATAATGCAATAGCATAAACATATACTTCAACTAGGATTACCCAGGATATTAATTATTTTCAAAAGTCTATAATTATATGCCTGTGATATAATATTTTCATGGAAATCAAGACATCATAACTTATCTATAACTTTAGGATTAAAATTTTCGTAATAATAAGCAACTTTTAGTGTTAACAGTTTTAAGAACACACATCAACTCCTTATATTCAGCTTTTAACACTTATATCCAAACCTGTCTTATATATATACAAAAACCACCTACTAACAGTTAAAAAGTAATTTGCAGCACTTGGTGCTTAAAAGCTACTTTTAAGCAACTAAGCAGAAGGAACTCTTAATTTAATTAACAATATTATTACTCACCAGGTTTATTAGAACGGAGGCCCTTTTCAAGGTCAATGCTCCACTGCATCGCACAAGCCGATGGAGTTCTCTCCATTCTTATCGTCTCTGGAGGACAATGAGCTTGAGCGGGAACAAAATTTGTCTGAACTCAATCAGTATTAGCACTGCAATAGGAAAACACAGTAGCTTTGTAAAGTTAGAGAGAAAAATATTGGAACTTTATAAAATCGGAAAGAGAGACAACAGGCATCAGAAGATTTTGTCTATACCTTTTTAAAACTGGGACTTACGAGCTAAAGAAAAGATAAAAACAAGAGAAAGATCTTTTATGTATTTTTCGCTCCAATTAGGTCACTGACAGGAAATACAATAGCAATAGCAGTAGAAGAAAGGAGGGAAATTGAAACAAAGAAGAAAAAGAAAAAGATGGTTCAAAATACTTGTGGGTTCAAAATACCCCTCACCCGTTAAATCCCTCTCAAAAACGACATGTGCCACGCCCTGGTTGCATTAAAATAACCTGCAGACCCGACCCAACTTCTTTACCCACCTCCATCCGAATCCCCCTTATTGCAGCAGATAATGCACTTGTTTTTGGAGAAAAAGAAATTGGAACTAATACTTATGTTGTATTTCAAAATACTAATACTTCAACTTATTCACACAAAAAAAAAAGGAACTTAAACTTATCTCAAAGAATGATGGATGAGAAATATGAGAATTAAACTACACAAGAACATCGCTTACAAACTGATAATTTCATAAGTAGATATTTATAAAACTTTATTTTCGTATTTTTCTTGAATTAAAAATAAATAAATCCAACAACAAAAATTATATTTAGATTCAAATTTCTGAAGTCTTTTTGCCTTTGAAGGTACTGAAAAACATTCCACGTTAGAGCATCACAAACCCAAAAAAGCATTGTGGGATTTTCTTGTCATCAAAAGGAGAATACCAAAGCTTTAATAAGAGTACTAATGGATAGTGAAAACAAACAACAACCCAGTATAATCCCACAAGTGGGGTCTGGGGAGGGTAATATGTACGCAGACCTTACCCCTACCCCGAGGGGCAGAGAGGCTGTTTCCAGGAGACCCTCGGCTCAAGAAGCAACGAGAGACGATATATTAGTACTATCAATAGCTCATAATAAAATAACATAAGATACATAACATAACATAAAATAACAAATAACAGCAATATAAGAAATATAGGAAATACGAAAAAGATGGGAGGTATAGTAATATCCAACAGATAAAGCCCTACATCAGTAGATGATAGTAGCATCCTGAGACTAACTCCTAACAGGCTAGTCTCACACTAGTGTGCTGTAGAAATATCCACAACTTTCCCCTAACCTACAACCTTAATGCTCGACCTCCACAGTTCCCTGTCAAGGACCATGTCCTCAGTAATCATAAGTCGCGACATGTCCTGCCTGATCACCTCTCCCCAATACTTCTAGGTCTCCCTCCACCTCTCCTCGTGCCCACCACAGCCAGTCGCTCACACCTTCTCACCGGTGCATCAGTGCTCCTCCTCTGAATGTGCCCGAACCATCTGAGTCTTGCTTCTCGCATCTTGTCCTCTATGGGGGCCACGTCCACCTTCTCTCGAATATCTTCATTCCTAATCTTATCCATCCTCGTATGCCCGCACATCCATCTCAACATACTGATCTCTGCTACTTTCATCTTCTAGATGTGTGAGTTCTTAACCGGCCAACACCCGGTCCCATACAACATGGTAGGCCTAACCTCCACTTCATCCACCTCACCCCTATACGGTGTGTGACATCCTCGTCGATCTCCCCGATCCCCTAAATAACTGACCCAAGGTACCTGAAACTACCCCTCTTAGGGATGACTTGAGAGTCAAGCCTCACTTCCACTCCCGCTTCCGTCAGCTCGGCCCTAAATTTGCACTCGAGGTATTCTGTCTTCGTCCTACTCAACCTGAAACCTTTAGACTCAAGGGCATGTCTCCAAACCTCTAGCCTCTCGTTGACGCCGCGTCGTGTCTCGTCAATCAGGACTATGTCATCAGCAAATAGCATGCACCATGGGAAATGCTCGGAGTCGCCTCCTACTGTCCTACTCCAAAGGCTTGCCGGTCAACACTAAGGCGAATAACTTTGACCCAGGGGACTAACACTTAGATGCAGTATTTATGATATAAAAGGTTTTCATGACTTCTATCTCATCGAAATCTAGAAGGGGAAAGAACAAAGCAGATTTATTTGGTAATGTAATTAGTTTGCAGAAGAAAGACATAACATCATAACAAAACATCTTATTAGTACAAGATATAATACAATCAGGTAATGAACTTGTACTACTTCAGAAGGAAAAAGCCTCTATATAAGGGATGCGAATACTATCGAATCCATTTAACAGAAGGCTATCTTATTTTCAAAGGACTATTTACAAGAATGTATTACTTTGGAACACTTAGGACAAACTGGTTTTTAAACGAGCAAATCAAGCCAAATCTAAACCTTCTACTTACCAAGTTTGGCTACTACGAAAACTTAGCACAATCAGATATCATATGATTTCAAATAAAACATCATAGCAAATTTCAGCAACTTTTGTATCTAATTCTACTCATCTCAGTAACACTTAATCATCAAAAATTATTCAGAGTGTAATCAAATAAAGAGGAGAAAAGTGGAAAGGGAACCTGTTTGGCCAGAACTTTTCTTAACAACTGAATATAGAAAACTCGGCTACAACGTTTAACTCCAGAATCCAACTAAAATCAGCAACAAGAGTCAAACAGGACCGCGAATCGCAGCGAACTCGAACGAACACCACTCCGATCTCAAGCAAACTCCATAATTAAAATCCCAAAGTCAGGATTGGAAAGAAGGAAAATCAGAAATATTTTTGATTGTATTTTTCGATTTTTTTTTTTTTTTGCTGCTTAGGTGTTCTGGAATCGAGACTAAACCGAAAATTCGGACTCGAACTTGAAGTCAAATTTAAATTTGAAGGACACTGGATTCTCCTCTAAAACCATGTCCGAATTCCCTTCTGTTTTGACCTTCATTTTTCACATGAGGGGCTGGGGTGCGTCCGTTCTTTTATTGAAGGGAGGTCGATTGTTCTTCTCTACGAGATTAGGGGTTTTGTGGCAATTCTGGTATTCTCTTCTAGAGCAGCCTGGTTCGTTGGTTGGTTGGAGATGGGTCTGGCTGTTGCTCCAAGTTTAGGGGTGTTCTTTTGGGTGAGTTGATGGTTGAAGAAGAAGAGAGGTCTAAGTTGTGCGGCTGTAGCTTAGGGGTGAGGTCGTGTTTATGGGGTGTCTAGGGGTGGTCAAGGGTAGGCGGCGATGGAAGTTCAGGCGGGGGAGTCCTCTGGGTTTCTTTTTTGGTTGAAGAAGGGAATGACAGGGGATCCTTTTGGTGTTTCCGGCGCAGCTTTTTTTTGTTTTTGTGTGTATAGGTCTAGGCGTCCTCCTCTTTCAATTTAGAGCCCGTTTGGATTGCCTTAAAAAAAGTGAGTGCTTAAAAGTAACTTTTAAGTGCTGGAACTTATTTTATAAATAATCAGTTACATGTTTGGATAAAAATGCTGAAGCTTAAAAAAAACTGTTGAAGTGTTTGGCAAACAAGTGGTGGTAAGCACTTTTTCTTATTAAAAAGACAAAAATATAAGGGCAATTGCTTGAAGAAAAATACAGAAAACTGAAGAGGAAGAGGAAAGAAGAGGGTAATTTTGGTATTATAAAATCTTATAAGGGCAAGAGAGTAATTGTATTGGTCAAACTAAAATGGCTTTTAAGCCAAAATCAAAAAAGTTGGAGTCAGCCAACTTGTTGCTTTTGGCTTTTTTTAAGCACTTTTTAGCTTTTTTTAAGCAGCTTTTTTTGTTGCCAAACACTCCAAAAACTAAAAAAGTGCTTAAAAGCTGGTTTGACCAGCTTTTAAGCCCATCCAAACACCCTCTTAGAATCCAGACTCCACAAACTCCCTTGACCGGTCAACAACTCTTGTGCCCAAGTTTTTGCTAGCCATAGCTATCTTGCCTTTTGACCTTGTGTTATATGGATGAGTTACCTTACAGCTTGTTTGGATGGTTGTTACCTATCGTATCGTATCGTATTGTTACTTTAAATACAATGTTTGTTTTGATTGTTACTTAAATCTTATTGTATCGTATTGTTAAATCCGTCGTTACGTAACGATGAAATGTGCCACTTTATGTAACGACCGATTTGGTGTGGTCGCGTCATTTTCTTGTGTTTTTCTCTCAATCTCACACTTCATTATTATTAAATAATTTTATTTTATCATTTACCCTACTTTTTTATATACCGTATCATAATTTTTCTTTATAATATTGCAAGTTTATTCACCATATCACAGGTGCGTGATACCATGAAACGACGCCAAAACGACACAATTCATCCAAACATTGTATTCATCAAACGATACAGTACAATATAATACAATACGATACGATACATTATGAAACGATACGTAACAACCATCCAAACAAGCTGTTAAGAACCACAAACCAACCACCCTTCTGCTATATGAGGAGAACAAAGAGGAACCAAATGAAGTCATCATGTTAGTGTTACGGCATTTAACAGCTAAAAATATATCACATTTAATGCAATGCACCTAGCCACAGTTATCGGTTCTAAAATGAATTCGAGGGTACGAAGGTCAGTTGGCATCATCCCAATTTGTTCATTTCAATCCTCTCTTTTCTTTGCTTTTCTAGCACTTGCTTGATCATTTTCCTTCCTCTTTTTTTTTTCTAATTATCACTCTTTTCTTTCCTCTCATTTCTCACGTCCCATAATTTCACCCTTTTTTTTTCTTTTTTTTTCTTTTTCTTTTTCTTTTAATAATAAAAAAAATGATTTGATCGAACCCTATGTAGGTTGCCTACGTATCATGCCGCCGCATGAATCAGATCTTTGCGTAGTTCTGGAAGATCGGGAATAAAGTAAACAAACCGACGTTCTCTTTTTCTTTTTTTTTTCTTTTTTACCTTAATGACTACTCTGATGAGAAAAGAGAAATAAAAGAAGTAAATCCTTTTTTTCGAATTTTCTTGACTCAATGTTCTATAGCCTATTCTAAACTCAAGCTTAACGAGCATATATATTTTTTTTTCTTTTTTTCTTTTTGAAGCAAACACTCTATGGGAAATTATTAAGGAAAAACTCCTACAAGAGAAAAATATTTTTTGATTCTTTTTTTAGGAAGGAAATCTAAACAATAAACCAAAGAAAACTATTTTGAATTTTCATTTGATATCCCTAAAGAAAAATTTCGAAACGAGAAATGAACAAGCTAAAAAAAAATTTGGATTTCGATTTTTTGATTACCTAAGGAATAAACTTTAAAGATAAACAAAAGATAAAGTATGTTTTTACGCTTTTATGTACAATATCCTAAAGTTTTAGTGAAAATAGAAAGAATATTTTTTTTTTGTTCTATTAATTTCAGAAAGAAGAATCTCAAAGGAAAATCTTTTTGGTTTTTGTATTAATATCTTAAAGAAAACTCGTAAAGAGATATCAAAAGAGAAAAATTCCATTTTTTGAGTTTTTAGTTCTAGTATACTAAAGGAAATATAAAAGCAATTTTTTTTGAGTTCTAGATATTAATTTTCTAAAGGAAAAACCACAAAAGATGTTTTTGAACCTATAGAGTTAGTATTCTAAAGAAAACATCTAACAGAAATATAAAAACGCCAAATCTCTTTTTTTTTTTTTTTGGGGATCTTTTATTTATTACACATCTTTTTTTCAAATACAAAATATGAAATAATAACAAAAGACTCGACAAACTTAACTGGACTATGACAGACTCTAACATCAACTAAATGAGTGAAATGAACAATAGACTCAAAAAAACAAAAAAAAACAAAAAAAAACTCCTCAGGCAGCTCCTGAATCCAGTGGTCCTGGGGTATCTGTCATGCTCAAGCTCCGGTAAGTGGATCCACCTGTACGAGAAAACTGAAACCAACACTATGTGAGACAATAACATTTCCTACTAGACACATGCAAGACATGGTTGAGGCTATTTTTTGCAAAATGACTTATGTGGCTAGAAGTGCAAATTTGGCTAAGACCTCGCAAAATCAAAAACCTAAGATTTACTAGGAAGACCGGACCATATGTGGCTTGCTTACGTATCACGCCCCGAAAGACGAGAATCAGGTATGCGTAGCTCGGGCAGATTGGATACGGGCGAGAATTAAAAAAACAACTAAAGTTAGAGAAAATATTTTTTTTGGTCTCTTTTTTTTTTGAAAAATAATGAAACATGTGAACTCTTTTTGGATTTTCTTTTTCCCTGTTTTTTGATTTTTTTTTTATTTTCGAAAAATGATGAAAAAGTGCCCTACTTGATTTATTTTCACGCTTCACCCTCTTATTTTTCTTTTTTTTCATTTGCCCTCAACTATTATTGTTCCGCCAAATGACTCTTTTACCCTTGAAGATTGCAACATGTAGCACATTAGGATGCATCAGGATGGTCTTTTATTTTTTGTGTACACCTGTCCTAGACGAACCCAACCCCTGTGTTGAGTACCCTAAGTCAAATGCACATGATGCAACCAAGCGTTCCTATTAGGGATCCGGCATGAGGCTGTATTTTTCTATGTTTAAATCCTGAGGTTTTGTTCTAGACTTGGGGTACCCGAGCGGACAACTGGGCCAAAGAGGGGGCGACGTACCGGGAGCACTGAAGTCTGCCCGGCCTTGTCGCTTGCCCAGCCTCGTTCTATTTGGTATAATTTCTATAGAAAAAGCGGGCCACGCGAACGTGTGCACCATTTTCAGAAGACTCAGATGGGTGACGTGAGAAGACAGTTATATACAATTCAAACAATATTAAAGCAGTAAACAGATAGCAATTAACACAGAGGTTCACAAAATACAGTAATATGAACAATAAATAAAGCCAAGTAAAAATCATAAAACAAGCTTGAATTCTTGAACCCTGAACCAGAGATTCTGGGTTCTTGTCCCCAGCAAAGTCGCCAGAGCTGTCACACCTCATTTTTCCTACACCGCTAGAGATTCTGCTATGAAACCCTTCCTCTCCTGAGTCTTCTAAATCATGGAGAAGGGTGCACTTCGTGTGACTTCTCTTCTGTCTAGAGTCTTATCCCATTTTAGAACGAGGTTCGGACAAGTTGCAAAGCCGGTGAAGCTTCTGTATTCCCGGTACGCTGCCCCCTCCCCCGGCTCGAGTTGTCCGCTCGGGTAAGCCAGGTCTAGAACAATAAACCCAGGTTTTAAACCTAGTATAACAAAGGAGGTGTGACAGCTCTCCCCAGTCTTTGCATAGGGTGAACTATGCAGCGCCACGAAGCTTTGGGACGTTAAACCTAAAAGAGACCCTTTTCCCAGATGATCCATTCCATCAAATCAAGAACGAGCCAATTTCACGCAGATTTTGGAAGGGGGCTCAATATTTTGTTCCAATTTTTGAATGGCTGCCAATGTACAGTTTCAAGCTCTTCAAGTATGATCTTCTTGCTGGAATCACTATTGCTAGCCTTGCCATTCCTCAGGGGATAAGCTATGCCAAACTCGCTAACGTTCCTCCAATCATCGGACTCTGTAAGCTACTTATAAGAGCATTATATTGTATTGTTTTTTCCTATATATTGACGCGTCGTACCAAAACATGTATGTGTTGATGACTTTCTTGGCTTTTGATTCAAAGTAGGTACAACTAACAATATTTTGATTAAAAGATGTATGAGTTGCATGCATGCAGATTCGAGCTTTGTTCCTCCTCTTATTTATGCGGTTTTTGGAAGTTCAAAGCACTTGCTGTGGGGACGGTGGCTACTCGAGCTTTGTTCCTCCTCTGAATGTGCCCGAACCATCTGAGTCTTGCTTCCCGCATCTTGTCCTCTATGGGGGCCATGCCCACCTTCTCTCGAATATCTTCATTCCTAATCTTATCCATCCTCGTATGCCCGCACATCCATCTCAACATCCTCATCTCTGCTACTTTCATCTTCTGGATGTGTGAGTTCTTAACCGGCCAACACTCGGTCTCATACAACATGGCAGGCCTAACCACTGCTCTATAAAACTTACCTTTTAGTAACAGCGGCACTTTCTTGTCACACAGAATTCTCGTCGCTAACCTCCACTTCATCCACCCCACCCCTATACGGTGTGTGACATCCTCGTCGATCTCCCCGATCCCCTGAATAACTGACCCAAGGTACCTGAAACTACCCCTCTTAGGGATGACTTGAGAGTCAAGCCTCATTTCCACTCCCGCTTCCGTCGGCTCGGCCCCAAATTTGCACTCGAGGTATTCCGTTTTCGTCCTGCTCAACCTGAAACCTTTAGACTCAAGGGCATGTCTCCAAACTTCTAGCCTCTCGTTGACGTCGCGTCGTGTCTCGTCAATCGAGACTATGTCATCAGCAAATAGCATG